AAAAAAAAAAAAAAAAGCTTCTCTCCACCACAAAAAATTAAAATAAAAAAAATGAAGAGTGACAGCCTTGGAAACCTACAAGGACAGTTCTATTGTGTCCTATATGGTTGTTATGAAGTGCAAATGACTCAGTGGCAGTGAGATAGACAGGTATGAAAATTAAAGAGGAACATTGTGGAAAAGAACATTTCAAGATATGTCCGAAAGTACATTATCAGGGATAGGCAAATATCCATGCACCTTACAAGACCAGTTAATACAACTATTATCCACATTTATTCACCAGCTATTAATGCCAAAGAGGAATAAATCAAAAGTTTAAAAATACTTCAGAAAAAAAATTTTCTGCAGCCTGAAATGGATCAAACATGCAATATTAATGCACTGACAGTGACTAGTGTTTGGAATTCAAGAAGTGAAAATAAATGAAGCCAAAGAAGGATGGGCAGTTCGAAAATATGGCCTTGGTGATAGAAACAACTTATGGTAGTATTTTGGAAGGTCAACGACTTGTTACAAGATGTTTTTCCTCCCTAATAGCATCAACAGCAACAAGTTGATCTCACTACATGGATACACGGGATTAAACTGATTCCATCTGTAAAAAGAGATCATCAAGAAGCAGCTTAAACCCATCAGCAATACCATACAAGTCCAAAGAGCAGCTGTGGAACAGACTATCAAGGGTTCCTATTACAGGAAACAAAACCACGTCCCTAAGAGGCAGAGGCTATTTCCACCTGAGTTTAGAGACCATCTCAAGAACACAGTCCTTACACCGAACACTGATGATGGGAGACCAGCAGCGTTATGGGATGACACAACCCTCATCATGTAAGAACAAAGCAAGAGTGCACTACAGGCAGCGAGGAAAGAAAACTCCAAAGTGAGTGTCAGAAGAGACTGAAACCTGCTCAGGCATAAGGCAGCTAAAGCAAATGGAAGAAATGATGTAAAGCTGAACAGAAGATGTTAAAGGTTGGCTCAGGAAGTCAAAGTAATGTATTACAATGCGATGTGCCAAGTCTTGGAGTTAGGAAACCAAAAGGGAGAAGCACACTTAGCATTTTTCAATCTGGACAAATGGATGCCAAAATTCAAGACTTGAGTTGCAGTATGAAAAGAGTGGCTTAAACATTGAGCTGCTAACCCTAAGGTCAGCAGTTTGAAACCACAAGCAATTCCACAGGAGAAAGGGGAGGCCTTCTAATCCTGTACAGATTTTACAGTCTCAGAACCACCAGGGAGGCAATTCTGACTGTCCTGTAAGGTCACTGTGAGTCTGAATCAACCGAGTTTGAACTTTTATGGGCAAAATCGGGAACAATGCAGGAAGAATCAAAAGAAGATTGAAAGAATACATCGAGTCGCTCTATCAAAAACAATGCTGGACATTTAACTATTTCGGGTGGCAGCATACGATCATAACCAGTTAAGGTATGCGAGGGAGAAGTCCAAGCTGCAATGAAGACCTTGGTGGAAAACAAGTGAGATAACAGACACCACATAAAACCTGTCCTCTGCTCAGGCCAGGTTTTGCCAACAAATGAGATCAATTAAGTACTGCCCCAAAATAATTACCAATAAAATCCACTGGTTTACCAAGTTTTTCGGAGCTGCAAATTTAGACAAGGGGCCCTGCAGGATTGGTAATATTGGTCTCTTGAAAGAAGATTAAATTGATGTATGTACGGACTGTGACAAGAGTTGTATGAGCCCCTAATAAAACGATTTAAAAAAAGAAAACAGAGTAGATCGCTTATTCTGGTTAGACCTTTAATCCTTCCTAAGCAGATTTCAAACGTACAACGCACAGTCTATTAAAACTCCATTTTACTCCCCACCAACCTTACGACCAACATTTTACTAGGAACGGTTCTCTTTCTTTTAAAATAAGAAAATGCACAGGTAGCCTGGGAGACAATACATCGAAGCAGCTGTCTGGAAGAGAGGCGCATTCTAGGGTTGGGGGGGCGACGAGAAAAGATCCCCATTGAATCCTCACAGCTCTTCGGCCCACATCCGAGCGCTACAGAATGCGGGAAGACGCGGCCGTCCTCCCACGGAGCCAACCCTAGGTGGGGCGAGCCGCTCGCCCAGTGCCCTCAGCTCCGACTCCGGTGGGCAGACAAGCCGGGGCAATCAAGGTAACTGTGGCCAAGGCTGGGCTCTGTCCTCCCCGCTCTGTTCCCGCCCACCAGACTCAAAGGGCAGTAGAGGACTCACATCTTCCATGGCCCGCGTGCGGTGGTCAGAATTGATCTGGTCCCGGAGCTGGAGAAAAACAAACGGTGACAGAGACGCCGTTAGCGAGAGTGCCGGAGTCGGAAAAGGCGCCCGAGGGCGGAGCTGGCTCTGGTACAAGCCAAGGCCTCCAGGGCGCTGGGAAGCAGGAGGCTAAAGGCCGGAGCTCCGAGAGGGAGTACCGGGAGCCGGAGCTTACGAGGCGGGTCGGGAGAGGTTACCCAGGCCGGAGCCCGAGGAAGGAAACGGGAGCGGGGGGCCGAGGGCAGGGTGGGCCTGAAGGCCAGAGACCGCACTCCGCGGTTAAACACGGGCCAGGCGCCCCGGGCCAGCCCTACTCACGGTGGACTTCTTCGTGAGCATCTCTTTGGCCATGACGTCCATGAGCCGTTCCCTTTCCTCATGATAGCGCCTCTGCTGCTCCAGAATCGTCTCCATGCTCCCTCGGCCGCGGCAACTCAATTCAGAGCACAGACGCGGCCGGAAGCAGCTCCTGCCGCCTTGCGCGCCTGCGTCCCCACTCCGCACCTCCGGCGGCGTCGGAGTTCCGTACGTTCCGGAAGTACCGCGGGGACTCTCGGAAACGTGGCACCGCGAGAAGATCGTGCACTATCGCGATGGTTGCTATTGGTCACCATGCACAGAGGCCGTACGGCGTGCAGATGCCTAGGGGGCGAAAGGAAATCGGAAAACCAAACACGCTGCCGACTGGTGCGGTGCCTTCGGGCTCTTAGGGCCGCTAAAGACAGAGCGAGAGGGCTGTGCCAGTTTCCAAGGCTGTAAATATGTACAGAAGTCGACTGCCACATTCCCCGCCTTCCCCGCCCCGCCCCTCCCCTCCCGAGCAGCTGGTAGGTTTGAGCCTCTCACCTTTCTTTCTGCTTAACAACCAAACTGTAAACACAGAACCACGAGAACGCTTCAGGAATCCGGGAACCTGAATTAAACTGCCGGCTCCCAAGGGCCACCTGGAGCTTCCTGGTCCATCTTGGCCCACGGGGACACTAGAGGACTGATGAGCAGTTGAGGAGCACGGGATAGGAACTGGGGAGGGGGGGGGGGGCAAAACATGAGTACCTAGCTTTCAGGGCGACTGACGTTTATCCCTCCTGTACCCCCAAGAAGTTCATATGTGGGGAAACCCAATTGCCTGTATTGACTCAATAAGAATTCATTGTCATCCAGTCAATTCCAACTCGGCGACCCTATAAGAGAGTAGAACTGCCCTTGTGGGTTTCTGAAACTGTAAACTCTTTTGTTGTTTTTTGTTTGTTTGTTTTCATCATTTTATTAGGGCTCATACAACTCATCACAATCCATACATCAATTGTGTAAAGCACATTTGTACATTCATTGCCCTCATCATTCGCAAAACCTTTGCTCTCCACTTAAGCCCCTGGCATCAGCTCATTTTTCCACTCCCCCCTCTCCCCTCCCTCATGAACCCTAGACAATTTATAAATTATTATTTTGTCATATCTTGCCCTGTCCGACGTCTCCCTTTACCCACTTTTCTGTTGTCCATCCCCCAAGGAGGAGGTCACATGTAGATCCTTGTAATCGGTTCCCCCTTCCATCACCCCCTCCCTCCAACCTCCTGGTATCACCACTCTCACCAGTGGTCCTGAAGGGATCATCTGTCTTGGATTCCCTGTTTCTAGTAGTTCCTATCTGTACCAATGTACATCCTCTGGTCTAGCTGGATTTGTAAGGTAGAATTGGGATCATGAGAGTGGGTATGGAGGAAGCATTTAGAAAGCATTAGAAAGTTGTATGAAACTATAAACTCTTTTTTTTTTTTTGAAACTGTAAACTCTTTAGGGAAGTAGAAAGCCTTGTATTTCTCCCTATGAGTTGCTGGTGGTTTCAAACTACTGACCTTGCAGGTTAACCTAACTCACAGGGTACAATCAAGCATTGACATGCTTTAAGACCAGGGGTCTGGAGACGAAGGGTAGGTAGGAGGTTCAGGGAGAGGAACTCACTGCCATCGATTACAATTCAGAGTGACCCTGTAGCACAGGGCAGAATGGCCCCTGTGAGTTTCCGAGACTAACTTTTTGCAGGAGTAAAAAGCCAAGTCTTTCTCCCCAGAGCTACTGATGGGTTCAAATTGCTGACGTTGCAGCTATCAGCCCAAAGCTTAACCATTAAGCCAACTAAGCCAACAGGGCTCCTTCAGGGAGGGAGAGGGAGGAAATCTGTCTGTTCACTTCCTTTTTTTTTTTATTTTTAGATGAACTTGCTTGTCACTAAAGAGCAAGTCCATTTCAATTTTACCTGTCCTCTTTTTTTAAAAAATACTTCTATTGGGGGCTCTTACATCTCTTCCTACATTTTTTTTAAAACCACTCAAACCACTTTTTAGGTTTGAAGGATAAGGAATTTGGAGGGATTTTGTAAAACACAAGGAGGGGGGGCGAAGCATGGAGTAGAGACCCAATGCCCATCTGTAGACAACTGGAAATCCCCTCACAGAGGGGTCACAGGGAAGAGAGCCAGTCAAGGTGCAGTATATCACCAATGAAACACTCAACTTTCCTCTAATTCTTTGGTGCTTCCTTTCCCCCCCACTATCATGACCTCAGTTCTACCTTACAAATTGGATTAGACCAGAACACGCACACTGCTACAGATAAGAGCCGGCAACACCGGGAATCCAGGATAGATAAACCCCTCAGGGCCAACAATAAGAGTAGAGATACCAGGAGGATTAGGGGAGGGTGGGGAGAGAAAGGGGGATTCAATCACAAGGATCAACCTATAACCCTTCACAGGGGGACGAACAACGGAAAAGTGAGTGAAGGGCAACAGAAGACAATGTATGATATGAAAATATAACTTATCAAGGGTTTGTGGGGGTGGGGAAGAAATGGGGAGCTGATATCAGGGGCTCCAGTGGGAAGAGAATGCTTTGAAAATGATGATGGCAGCATATGTGCAGATGTGCTTGACACACTGGATGAATGTATGGATTGTGATAAGAGATAGAAGAGCCCCCAATAAAATTCTTTTTTTTAAAAAACACAACCTAAGAAATGAAATCCACAATATCCTGCTAAACCTTCCATGTTCACTTCTAAGTGGAGAAATGAAAATTTACATCTGCATATACAGCAGCAGGATGATCCCTGGTGGCACAGTATTTACACATTAGGCTGCTAACTGCAAGATCAGTAGTTCAAAACCAAAAACCACTCTGTGGGAAAAAGACAAGGCTTTCTACTCCTATAAAGAGTTGCAGTCTTAGAAACCCACAGGGGCAATTCAACCCTGTCCTGTAGGGTTGCTATGAGTTGGAATTGATTTGATGGCAATGAGTTGTATATATTCAAGACTACAACATGAACGAACCTTGAAAACATCATGCTAACAACAAAAAGCCAGACACTAAAGCAATATAGTATACATGATTCTACTTACATGAAATGCCCACAAGGGCCAATCTATGGCGCTGGACAGTAGATGAGTCATTGCCTGGGGTTGGAGGGGACATTGGAATTGACTGCAAATCAGCACAAAACGTCTTTTTGGGGGTGATGGAAACGTTTTAAAATTGGATGATGATGGTTGTACAACTCTATTAACTTACTAGACATAATTGAACTGTATACTAAAAAGCAAGTGAATTTCATCATATGTAAATTATACCTCAATAAAGCTGTCGAAAATCTTTATGAACTTATATGGAAAGAGCAACACAGAGAGTCAAAAAAAGCTACTAACAGTGTGACATATGTCTTAAGTTAATCTCTTTTGAGATATAACAGAAATTAAACATGCCATCAGAGGAGCAAAAAAAAAAAAAAAGAAAAACCAAAAAAACCCAACCCAGTACCATCCAATTGTTTCAGATTCTGGCTGAGTGAAATCGATGCCGAGACACATGGAGAGCTCCAGGCACTGTATGACAGAAGCTGAAAAGACCAGGCCTTCCCGGAGAGCCTACGAGAGACAGCGCCTCCTAGAGCTGCCGCCCTAACTCCGACCTTTTAGCTTATTTGTGAGAAAATACGAGGGGGTACCCCACACACCAAAAAGACCCAGATTTTTAAAAAGTTATATACTTAAGTTTCTTTTTACAAAACAACCTATCACCTTCAAAGTGTTCTTCATTACATTTAAGATGTGTGTCAAATGTGGGATTCGGTTCCTGGAACCCTTTTTCAAGCTCACCTGTTTGGCTGGCTGGCTGCACCGCCCTCGTTTTTTTCTCCACGATGTCATCAACTCACTGTCCTTCCCGGACCCGCTTTATTCTCAGAAGCTAGGCAAGCAAGGTGCGTGGGGCAAGAGAGGCATGCTGATTTTTGCCAAAAACTGGCACACTGAGGCGGCTCCATGAGCAGGTGCGTTGTCACGGTGGCAAAACCACTCGCCTATCTGCTACAAACCAGGCCTATTCTGTTGCACACTGTTACGCTATCTTTTCAGGGCCTCTAAATAGCAGTCTGACCTGGTGGAACGCACTCCAAATGCACTACGAGTCAACATCCAGAATTAGGTTTGTTGTCAATTGACATTTCACCTTTTTTGAAATAAGAAAACTACTCGTACGCTTGAGTTTTCCCCATAGCGCTGACCTCGTAAGCTGTGTTCAACATCACAACAGTTTCTGCAGCATTTTTCCTGAGCAGGAGACAGAATTTCCCAGCTGTATACTGTTCTCATAATTCAGCCATCACGAAAATCAGGTTCAAGTGACACTGCTTTTATGAAAAAATGCACTGTGACTACAGAGAATCTTCTTGGGTGATGCCCCTGGGTGCACTAGCTCAGAGCGAGTTGCTCGATGCTCTCCTAGCAGGAAAAACGTGTGCTCTGAAGTCTCAGCCCTGCCCAGCGCAATTCCGGGTTTGTGAGGGTGCTGCCTCTTCTGCATCTCTGGTTAATGCCACCCAGTTTTGCTATTTGTTACAACACTATATAGCAAAGGAAACATGTTCTCCCAACCACTGATCCTTCTTAGTTGACAACGTTCACAGTCCAGTCACCACTAATTAATTGCATGTTGATCAATTCCAGAATGGAGAAGTATTTCTTCATCTTCGGCATTAGTGGTTGGTGTGTACATTTGAACATGAATTGTTTTCCTTGTAGGTGGCTGAATGGTATCCTGTCACGGACAGTGTTGTACTTCAGGATATATCTCGAAATGTAGTTTTTGACCACGAATGTTGAACTTGTCAAGGATTTCATTTTACTTGGAGACCTAATTAATGCTCATGAGAACAACAGTCAAGCAATCAAATGATAGATTGCATTGGACATATCTGCTGCAGAAGATCTGTCCGATTTAACTTGTTCATAAAGATTCTACTTTAGGGACTGAGGTACACCTGATCCAAGTCGTGGTATTCCCATCACCTTATCTGCATGCCAAAGCTGGACAATGGTTATAAAACACCAAAGAAGAAATTAAGGTTTTGGGGAAGAATATTGAATATACTATGGACTGCCAGAAGAAGTACAGCCAGAGTGTTCCTTAGAAGTGCAGATGGCAATACTTCATCTCTAGTATTTTGGACATGTTATTAAGAAGGACTGATTCTAGAGAAAGATATCATGCTTGGTAGTGTGTTAGCAAAAAAAAAAAAAAAAAGGAAGCCCCTTAATGAGATGGATTGACACTGTGGCTGTAACAGTGGGTTTAAATATAGCAAGATTGTGAGGATGGCACAGGACTGGGCAGTGTTCTGTTCTATTGTAGAGAAAGTCACCTTGAGTAGTGTATTAAAGCTTAAATTCTGAGCACTCTGATTTGCAAAAGGCTATGGATGCCATCGACAACCCCAAATCTATTTGCAGGGTCCCAAATAGATCAAGCCTTTCATCAAGCATCTAAATTAAGCCCTTAAATCAAGCATTTAATTCTTTCTTATCCTCTAACCAAGGATGTAGATAATCTTGCCCTTAGGTAGTGCCCAGGAGTGTAGATTGCCTCTCCAGCCAGTCCAAGGAGGGGCAGTCTCTCTTAGGGGCTTGCCTTGGTGGAAGTCACTGTCCTGGGGACAGTACAGGGTGCTGCATAGTCCTGGGTCATGCCCTGTCAGTCTCGCCCTGACTGCCAAGGTCAGAAGGCCCTGGACCAATCTTGTAAGCCCTTCTGTCTAATAATGCCCATGTCCCAGTCGTGGTCCCATTCCTGCTACTGTAGTCCCACCTGTGACTGTAATGTATCGACCTGCCACCAATCATGGATTTGTGATTTCCTTTGTTCCATGCCTTATTTAACTAGCACCCTGACCACGAATCCTGGGATGCCATTTTACCTACATGCTGATGGCCCCCTCATCTGGATGATATGTCTGTGTCTGTATTGTCTTTGTCCCTTTAAAACTTAATAAATGTTCTCCTTCGATAATATTTTGGATTTCAGTCTTTTTTGTACCCTAAAAGAGTAGGAACCAACCTGATGGCCCCTAACAATGGCCACATAGGGTTAGGTGGTCATTTATAACACATATCTTTGAAGGACATAATTTGATCTGTAACAGATACTAAGCATGAGGTGTGAGTTGGTGGCCCCTACTTTCCTCAGTGACTCCCAACCTCCTCTTCCCGCATCATCACCTCCATGAGTTTGAAACGGTATCTAAACAAACTTGAGCTCTATTGGCGCTTCGTATTTTTTTAGGAAAAGGTTTCTGGAAAGAGTTTGTATGTGTAACATCAAATCAGACTGATCATTAATGGGGAACTCTAGCTTAGGGAAAGGGGAGTGGGTACTGATAGAAGCTGTTCTGGTCACCCCATGCCCAGGCTGGCCCACGGACTCTTCTTTCAGTTTAAGGCAAAGTTTAGGAGTAAACATATTCATTTATTTAATTCATTATGTTTTGAGGATCAACTGTGTGCCAGAAAATGTGCTGGGGGGTTGAAGAAAAGACATACAGCCTTACAGCTTAGTGAAAAGTCAATAGGTGAGAGAGACCTATCCCCAAATTGTTGGTCTGAGCTGGCCCTTTTGATCCTTGCTTTAAAAAGTGTGTTTACATCCATTGCCCTCTTGACAGCCTCCAGGAGGCAGGCAAGGCTGAGGCTAAAGAAGGAAGCGCACGCCAGTGTGTGGCAGAACACAGTGGCCCTGGGGACAGGATGGTTAGTCAGTAGGCTGTGATCCTAAAGGCCAGATGTTCCAAACCACCAGCTGCTCTGCAGGGGGTGTGGGGGGGGACGAGGTGACTCGGAGGTGGCCTGGACTAGGTGGCAGTATACATGACACAAGACTTGGAGGCTGACTTTCAAGGGAGTTCCAGTGTTGCCACTTGCTAGTTGCGGGGCCTCGGTCAAACGGTGCCATCTGAGCCTCACTCTCCCCATCTGACATATGGGGGTACTGGTTCTTCATCGTGTGTTTTCCTTTAAGGTGTAACCCAACAGTTATTTTCCGGAGGCCAGGAGAGGAGGCCGGTTTCAGTTTCGGTCAAGGCCAGGGCTGGCCCGCCAGAAGTGAAAGGGGTTGGAGATAGAATTGAGGAGGAAATTAAAATGCATTTTACCTTCCTTTAGGGCACCAGGCAGGAGATCATGGCCCAGAACGAGGAGATCCAGCAGTTAGGGTTACAGTATTCATTGGAGAAACATTTCCGTATAGGGACCCCACTGTATCGGACCCCTTCCACCCTCAACCCCGCAGGATTTAAGTGGTTAATGGGTGCAGGAAGCCCGCCTCCCACGATTGATAGGGGCATGCTGGGACTTGTAGGCTGGCTGACCATTGTAAGGGGGAGAGGGAGCTCTGGGAATCGTAGTCTCTGGCCCAGTGTGGGCCTGGGTGCCCCGCGCCCAGCAGTGACAGCTCTGGAGGTAGGCGGCAATGGCAAGTGGCTGGGAGCAGGTTGGGAGCAGGGGAGCCATGGCAGGGCTGGGCCCAAGGGAGGAAGCCAGGTCAGGATCGAGCTCCCCCCCACACCCCACCCCGCTTTCCTGTCCGGCAGCTGATGCAACGTGGCCTGCGTGGGGATGAGGGGCCTCCAGATGCCCGTCCATCGCCAAGGGAGAAGGAACAGGCTAGGACCCTCCCTTCCCCAAAGTAAGTGTATCTTCCCTGAACCCCATGGAGACCGCCCTGCAGAAAGGCACCAGCAGAACGGATTCCAGACACCCTAAAAGCAAACAGAATCCCATCCCAGGATCAATGCCCCCCATATCCCACAGGAAGACTGGGCCCCGCTCGCGAACAACTGGATGTCCTCCCTGAGAAAGAGCCATACCCTACATGGCACATCTCATTGGGGTGCTAACTAACGGCAAGATCAGCAGTTTGAAACCACCAGCTGCTCTGTGGGAGAAAGATGAGGCTTTCTACTCTGTAAAGAGTAACAGTCTCAGAAACCCACCGGCGCCGTTCTACCCTGTCCTGTAGCACCACCGTGAGTCGGGATCTTGAGGGCAATGAGTTAGACCAGGGACAAAGGGGGGTAGGGGCTTCTCCCTAGGGACTTTCAAAGTCCCCACTTGAGGGAACGAGAAGAACCGGGTCTCCACTCTACCTTCACCCTCCACAGCCCTTGCCCACAGCCCTTTGAGGCAGCTCCATCGCCTGGGTAACTTGTTGACCCAAGGTGCTGCTCATCTACCTTCCACAGGCTGCGTGTGTCTGCTCAGAAGAGGCCAGCATGGACCAGTCTGTGGCCATCCAGGAGACCCTGGCTGCTGGGGACTATTGCATCCACATATCCTTCCGAGCACCGAAAGCCCAGCCTGGGGCCTCCCCTGGCCTTGAAAATCGACGGTCTTGTGTCCGTGGGCTTGTAGGCCCACACTCAGGGGGAGAAGGCATTCGGCATTTCTTAAGTGTCTACTCAGTGCTGGGCAATCTTCCTATCCACTTCTGCCCTCTGGCGGAGAAGGCTCAGAGAGGTGACGTGACTTGCCCAAGCTCACACAGTCCATCTGTGGGGGCAAGAAGAAAGCAGGGGCCGAAGTGGGGGCAGGCAGGGTCGGGAGAGCCCCAGCCTCTGTTTTCCCTTGACCCTGAGCAGCAGGCGGTGCAAGGTGTGCTGTGTGAGGGAGACAGTCGGCAGAGTCGCCTCCTGGGGCTTGTCCGCCACCGCCTGGAGCAGGGTGGCCAGGAACACGCGTGAGTGAGGGCTTCCAGTCCTGCCTGCCTGGGCACAGGGTTACTGTGCTGCCCTGTTCCTGCCAGCGGGGGCTTCAGCCATCCTTCTAGGGCAAGTCCTGAGTGGTCTAGAATAAATTCTGTCCCAATACTATCTACCCCCTTTCTGAGCATGCACGCATTTCATCCTCACAAGCCCACTAGGGAGCTTCTGGAGAAGGGGCAGCTTAACAGGCCCCGCCAGATCTGGAGTCTACTCCACTGCCTGGGTTCAAATCCAGGCAGTGCTACTTCCAAGCCACATACTCCTCTCCACCTCAAGTTGTCAAGGTTAAAGATTCTTAGGCGTTAGTACCTGTAAGATGTTTAAGACGCCAGAAGGTGCTCCCTGCAAGCATCGGCTCACTACCGCTGATGAGTCCATCTGCCGCCCCGGTGACCCTGCGTGCTACTGGGTAGAACAGCACCGTCGGGTGTTCTTGTCCCTGGTGGGCTTCACACTGAGCTGCTAACCGCAAGGTTCTTCTCGGGAGAAAGATGAGGCTGTCTGCTCCCGTAAAGATTGAAAAGTACCGGCCACCCAGTGGGGCGGTTCTACTCTGCTCTAGAGGGTCCCCACGAGTCGGAATGGGTTGATGGCAGCGTGTTTGTTTCTTTTGGTTTAATCTTTACCGAAGAAGCAGCCCATCACGTCTTTCTTTCCTGGTACCGCTGTGTTGTAGGTTCAATTCCGACCTTTAGGTGAGTTGTTGAGCACAAGCTGCTTAATGGAACAAATGCTCAATGCCAGGGACACCCACCGTTTACCAGGAAGCAGAGTGGGAGCAAGTGAGCAGGAGGGGGGAGGGAGAGTACCACCCCTAGTCTAATGTTTCATAGCCAGTACGTGAGAGCTGGGAAGAAGCGGGCCTTAGATATTTTCACATCGACTACCCTCATTTTACAGATGGAGAAACTGAGGCTCAGGGAAGGGAGGGGGTGGCTGAGGTTGCATGGTTCTCTCACACAATGTCCAGCAGACAGAATGAGCACACGTTTTGCTAACAAAGCAGCCCCCAACACCACCCCAGCGAGAAGTTTGGCTTTGCTGCCCTCAGTAAGACTGGGGTGGCTGGGGCCCGGAGGCAGAAGAAGGTGCGCATCACCAGGGACGGTCAGCACAATCCAGGGGCTCAAGGAGGGAGCGTGACACCCCGACCCGGAGGAGTGGGCCCATGGGACAACCAGCAGCCTGTGTGCGCCTCTCTGCTTCCTGCCCGTAGCCTCTTCCTCTACACGCACCGGAGGATGGCCATCACCGGGGAGGATGTCTCTTTGGACCAGATGGTGCCACTCTCTCGGGATTTTTCGCTGGAGGAAGGTACCGCTGCATGATCATGACTCCCCCTGCTGGGCCCCCAAGGCACCTCTACCTGGTTGGGCTGGTGCATGGGGAACAGGGACAGGCCCAGCATGCTCAGTTCTTGTTTCCCTCCCCACAGTGTCCCCAGATGGTGAACTCTACATCCTTGGTGAGTGGTCTGGGTCCCAGTGGGGTCAGGGGGTAGGGTGGGATCTGCAGAGAAGAATGGGTGATGTAAATAAAGTAAGAGCCTCCCAATATTGTTACTGTGTCAGGTAAGACTCCAGGATCAGGTGGCTGCACTGCAGACCCTCTGGATTGCTGCCTATCCCCTTATCCCCACACATGACATTCTCACCAGGGAGGCCACGCACAGTGTTTCTCTCTTCCTGTCTGCTTCCACTGAGCCAATCCCTACTGCTCGTCCTTCAGGACTTCGGCTCACCCATTGTTTTTCCCAGGGGGCCTTGACTGAACATCTAAAGTTAGTTGGCTCTCACAGATGCATGTTCCTTTTTCTTAGCCTCGGCACCTCTCTGCCACAGTCACGGCATCGTTTGTAATAACTTATCGCATCCATCTTCTTTGCTAGTAATCTGTTCTCACCACCACGCTCCCCAGTGCCCAGGACTGCGCTTGGCACGGCCAGGTAGGCTGCTTGATGGGCAGTTCTCGTGTCTGTCTCGATCTGCCTTCCGCTCCTCCGTGTGGGAAGAGTCTACACATCCAGAAAAGCAGTTCTTTTCCAGCCTCATCTTGAACTGCTGGGGGTGAGGCTCATGGGCTTTTCAGAATGCTGGTGGTGCCTTTTTAAGTGGAGCCCACGCACAGACGGCCCCTGGATTCCCCATCAGCAGCCTTGAGTGAGTTGCTTAAAAGTCAAAGGGGTTTTAGGAGCCTGGGCTGACGATTCTCCGTTTTAGAAACTCTAGCCTGAAGAGAAGGAGTCTTGGTGCTGGAATGGCTTATGGGCTGGGCTGTCCACCCCGGAGTCAGCAGTTGCAAACCATCAGCCTGACCCTGGGGAGAAGGGCGAGACTGTCTCCTGTAAAAATCTCCTGTCTCAGAAACCCACCAGGGCAGCTCTGCTCTGCTCTATGGGGTTGCAGTGGGTCAGAACTGACCGGGTAGCAATGAGGTGTTTTTGTTGTTGAAGCTTTAAGATGAATGCAAGGTCTGGGCTCCTGGCAGCTAAGAAGGGCTCATCGCCTTCCTCCTTCGTGCAGGCTCCGATGTGACTGTCCAGCTGGATACGGCAGTGCTCAGCCTCATGTTCAAGCTACCCTTTGGCTCACATACGAGGATGTTCCTCCAAGAAGTGGCCAGGGCCTGTCCAGGTGGGTAAGACCCCAGGATCCCATGGGGATATGGTTGGGTGGTGAACTTTACACTCAAGTTGACTTTCTACTCTTTTGATTCAAATCCTTACTTCCTGAGCCCTCTCAGAGCTGCTGGCATGAGGCTCCCTGCCCACCAGCCCACTAGTGTTGGCTTTTCTTTTGGCTAGTCTCTAGACCTGCTTTTGCTCCCAGAAGGGCCTCTTTGCGCTCCTGTTGTAGAAATCTTACATGTTAGCAGGGTCAGCAACTATAAAAATGGCATGAGGATGGTGTCTGCCCTCTTCTAAGTTCACAAGGGGGAGAGAGAAGCAAGATCAACAGCCCGAGAAGGATTTCTGTGAGGCAGAGATCAGACATGCCTCTTCTCTGACCGCTTCCTTCTCTAATTGGTAAAGACCAATGCCTACGCCAACCACGCTTCCCTTGGAACATTCTGCTTCTCCGCAGAGTTCGATCATTAGGTGCCATGGTCACACAGAACTCACAGACCACACTCACAGTTCTGAGCCTTATTAGAGAAATACCTAGTTACAATTCAGGATCAGGGATGCTCAGGTTGCTCATCAATTCTTTGATGAGGACAGCCTTCTCTCAACTGCTTTTGCTGATGTGCAGAGTCTCTGGCTCAGCCTCTCAGCCCTCCCCTCCTGCTCTGGCAAGTGCTACAAAGCTCTTTCAGCTCTGCTGATAAATGTCTAGGCATCCTGCCTGACAATAAGCCTAAACCCCAAGGCACTTCCCTCTAGTTAGCAGCCCTAGCTCCACCCCACCCTAACAAGTGCTGGGAGGCAAAACCCACACCATCAGCTAGCCTCCTGCCTGTAGGCACTCAGCTCTCTCTCCACTGTGCTGCCTCCTGCTGGTCTCCTGGTTCTACTGCCTCTGCTCCTCTCCCGTATCACGTCTCCAGTGGCACAGATCTCTCCGTCTCTTGGATCAAGGCCCTGGGTTCTTCTTTCCTGATGCTAGTAAGATCTCCCTCTGCTTCTGGGATGGCTCATTTTCAGCTTAGCCGATTGACAAAACACATCAATCCCTCATTATGGTTCTATATATCTTATTTGCATGATCCCACCCCCACCCCTAGGGTGCCACGCTCTTTATTTACAGTATGAGTAACCATCCAATCCCACAAGCACCTCACGTTTGCAGGGTCTTGGGGCGGGCATTTGGTGGGAGTGGCGAAGAGGAGGGCTGGGGGAGCATGCTGGAGTTCTTCACTGCCTCCCCCTGCCCACCACAGCCAAGGGAAAGCTTCCTGCGTTCACTGCCACGAGAAAGCAGTGGCCTCTAGGGCAGAATTTGTTTCCATCTGGAGATGGGCCAGCAGGTAAGGAGAGTTTATACAGGACAGCTGCCCCAGCGTATGCAAATTCCTGCCACCAGGCACGGAGGAGGCTTCGTTTATCCACTGAGTCAGAAGTGACTGATGGCAGCGAGTCTGGTGATCAGCTCTTTCCTTTCCAGCGAGCATCTTGTCTCTGCAGGGCTGCAGGGTGGAGGGGGCCTGTCATCAGGGCCTCTTGTTGAGCTTCCTGGGGACCAGCTGGTGATCTTACCTTAGACCAGTGGTTGTCAACCTTCCTAATGCAGTGACCCTTTAATACAGTGCTTTCTGTTGTGGTGACCCTCCCCTCCCAACCATAAAATTATTTTCATTGCTACTTCCTCACTGTAATTTTGCTACTGTTATGAATTGGGTGACCCCTGTCAAAGGGTCATTCAGCCCCCAAAGGGGTCATGACCCACAGGTTGAGAACCAATGTCTTAGAGTCTCCCAGGACTTTAGATACAGACTACTTAGGATGAGAAAAGGAAATTAAAATAAAATTATAGTGCCTGAACACCTGGTTACAAAAAAAAAACCCCAAAGCAAGCAACCCACAAAACCTCACTGCTGTTGAGGTGTGGACTCTGATTCATAGCAACCCTATAGGACAGAGCTGAAAGGCCCCCCGTGGGTTTCGGAGGCGGTAACGCTTCACGGGAGCAGACAGCCTCCCCTCTCTCCAGTGGAGTGACTGATGGCCTCACCCTGAGGCCCAACTCAGAACCCACTGTGCCTGTGGTTAAGGACCATAAATCCCGTCTCTAGGGAGGGAGAATGCTAGCCTCAGATTTAAAGAAATAATAAGGATCACTCACTTTAGGATGATTATTAGCAATTGTTAAGAGGGCTGGTAGTCGTAATGATAGCAACGAGGCTGGACTTTGAAGCTGCATAAACCCTTGAGGTTGAAACCCATCTCGGCTGCCCTCTAACTGTGGGCTTGGGAAAGCCCCTTCACCTCTGTGAGCCTTCGTTTTGGTAGACTTCTCTAAGTAAAGACTCACTTCCTCGTGCGGCTGCAAGAATCAACTGAGAAAACACGTGAAAGTGGGATCAAACATACCCGTGCGAGGACGGCGCAGGGCTGGGCAGTGTTTCTCTCTGTTGTGCAGATGGTTGCTATGAGTTAGAAATGACTAGATTAGTAGGGAGGGGGAAAATGAGGACCTAATGTCGAGGGTTTAAGTGGAGAGAAAATGTTTTGAGAATGATGTACAAATGCACTTTACACAATTGATGTGTGTATGGATTGCGATAACAGTTGTATGAGCCCCAAATAAAATGTTTAAACAAAAATTTGCCCAATGAAATAGATGTTTGAATTATTGACAGCTGCTTCAATGAGCTTTGATTATATACAAAGCAAAATGAAATC